CGACCACTGGTCTAATGAGTTTTCCGACCACTGGTCTAATGAGTTTTCCGACCACTGGTCTAATGAGTTTTCCGACCACTGGTCTAATGAGTTTTCCGACCACTGGTCTAATGAGTTTTCCGACCACTGGTCTAATGAGTTTTCCGACCACTGGTCTAATGAGTTTTCCGACCACTGGTCTAATGAGTTTTCCGACCACTGGTCTAATGAGTTTTCCGACCACTGATCTAATGAGTTTTCCGACCACTGGTCTAATGAGTTTTCCGACCACTGATCTAATGAGTTTGCCGACCACTGATCTAATGAGTTTTCCGACCACTGATCTAATGAGTTTTCCGACCACTGGCCTAATGAGTTTTCCGACCACTGATCTAATGAGTTACCGGCCACTGGTCTAATGAGTTTGCCGACCACTGATCTAATGAGTTTGCCGACCACTGGTCTAATGAGTTTGCCGACCACTGGTCTAATGAGTTTGCCGACCACTGATCTAATGAGTTTTCCGACCACTGGCCTAATGAGTTTTCCGACCACTGATCTAATGAGTTTGCCGACCACTGGTCTAATGAGTTTTCCGACCACTGATCTAATGAGTTTGCCGACCACTGGCCTAATGAGTTTGCCGACCACTGTTCTAATGAGTTTTCCGACCACTGGTCTAATGAGTTTGCCGACCACTGGTCTAATGAGTTTTCCGACCACTGATCTAATGAGTTTGCCGACTACTGGTCTAATGAGTTGCCGACTACTGGTCTATTGGAAAAGTTAGCTTAAATATTAAATGGAAGTTAACAGGAAGCGTTCAGTAAAAACAAACAATTTTTATATAGCACCACGTTTGCAAATGAAATAGAAATTATTCAAATGACATAATTTTCTCTGTAATATTGTTCTGCATGCTTCGAGATGTCACTGGGTCTACTAAACCATATTCCCGATAACTGCACTAAATGAGATTCTTAAAAATACCACACGTGCGTTTGCCGCGTACTATCTTCTTTTGTCTTACGGAAATAGTTGGTGCATTAAATCTGTGGTGGTGGTTGGGGGGGGGCAGAACTAATTGGGAATCTTATAAAGTGCTTTACTTGAATGTTTGATTTGTTAAGTAACTTGAGTAGATGGGAAGTTCACGCATTGAGGCCACCATTGTTTGGCAGATTACAGCATTGTAGGTAAAACAGAGCAGGGCCAAACCTGAAAAAATAAACGCAACAAAACAGCGAACCTGTCTGCAGAAAGCCTTCGTCAGCGAACAAAACAAAAGAAAAAAACGGTATAAAAATAAAAATAAGGAATAGCACTTAGCTGGTAAGTAGTAGACTATGTGTGGGCAGCAATTTTTTTCAGGCTTGGCCCGGCTCTGTTTTACTCATTTTGTTTTGTACTAACCTGATTGCAGTCTCTCCCCCTTATTACAGCATTATAACTAGTTACAAAAATAAATGATAGGCCAAGTTGTTCTCGTGTTTATTTATATTTCAAAAAAATTAAACCGCCAATGTTCAAAAGTTGTTTTAAAATAAACTAAGACTCATTAGGATATTTATATTGTTTAAATTAATTATTTTTTTTTCTTCAAATTTATCGCCGCCATATTCGCCCTGACGCAACAGATCCAAGTAGCGCGCCCTGGCACAACAGATCCAAGTAGCGTGCTGTGATTGAACAAAAACGTCGTATACATTTATACTTTTAAAAATATCATTTTTAAAAACTAGTGCTAGATTCATTGGCTAGATTCATTGGCTAGATTCATTGGCTAGATTCATTGGCTAGATTCATTGGCTAGATTCATTGGCTAGATTCATTGGCTAGATTCATTGGCTAGATTCATTGGCTAGATTCATTGGCTTGATTCATTGGCTAGATTCATTGGCTAGATTCATTGGCTAGATTCATTGGCTAGATTCATTGGCTATATTCATTGGCTAGATTCATTGGCTAGATTCATTGGCTAGATTCATTGGCTTGCTTTATACCCCCCTCACCGCCCCTACATCACTTGGTCCATATGCCACTATGTCACAATGTCCCTGTGCCACAATGTTACTTGGTCCCTATGCCACTATGTCACTTGGTCCCTATGCCACTATGTCACTTGGTCCCTATGCCACTATATCACTTGGTCCCTGTGCCCCTATGTCACTTGGTCCCTATGCCACTATGTCACTTGGTCCCTGTCCCCCTATGTTACTTGGTCCCTATGCCCCTATGTCACTTGGTCCCTATGCCCCTATGTCACTTGGTCCCTGTGCCGCTATGTCACTTGGTCCCTATGCCACTATGTCACTTGGTCCCAATGCCACTATGTCACTTGTTCCCTGTGCCCCTATGTCACTTGGTCCCTATGCCACTATGTCATTTGGTCCCTGTGCCCTTATGTCACTTGGTCCCTGTGCCCCTATGTCACTTGGTCCCTATGCCACTATGTCACTTGGTCCTTATGCCACCATGTCACTTGGTCCCTATGCCACTATGTCACTTGGTCCCTCTGCCACTATGTCGCTTGGTCCCTATGCCACTATGTCACTTGGTCCCTCTGCCACTATGTCACTTGTTCCCTATGTCACTTGGTCCCTGTGCCGCTATGTCACTTGGTCCCTATGCCACTATGTCACTTGGTCCCAATGCCACTATGTCACTTGTTCCCTGTGCCCCTATGTCACTTGGTCCCTATGCCACTATGTCACTTGGTCCCTGTGCCCCTATGTCACTTGGTCCCTGTGCCCCTATATCACTTGGTCCCTATGCCACTATGTCACTTGGTCCTTATGCCACCATGTCACTTGGTCCCTATGCCACTATGTCACTTGGTCCCTATGCCACTATGTCGCTTGGTCCCTATGCCACTATGTCACTTGGTCCCTATGCCACTATGTCACTTGGTCCCTGTGCCCCTATGTCACTTGGTCCCTATGCCACTATGTCACTTGGTCCCTGTGCTCCTATGTCACTTGGTCCCTATGCCACTATGTCACTTGGTCACTGTGCCCCTATGTTACTTGGTCCCTGTGCCCCTATGTCACTTGGTCCCTATGCCACTATGTCACTTGGTCCCTGTGCCCCTATGTTACTTGGTCCCTATGCCACTATGTCACTTGGTCCCTATGCCACTATGTCACTTGGTCCCTATGCCACTATGTCACTTGGTCCCTATGCCACTATGTCACTTGGTCCCTATGCCACTATGTCGCTTGGTCCCTGTTCCCCTATGTCACTTGGTCCCTGTGCCCCTATGTCACTTGGTCCCTGTGCCCCTATGTCACTTGGTCACTATGCCACTATTTCACTTGGTCCCTGTGCCCCTATGTCACTTGGTCCCTATGCCACTATGTCACAATGTCCCTATGTCACTATGTCCCTAGGCCCCTATCTCACTATGCCCATATTTCACTATGTTCCTATGCCCATATGTCTTTGGTCCCTGTGCCCCTATGTCACTTGGTCCCTATGCCCCTATGTCACTTGGTCCCTATACCACTATGTCACTTGGTCCCTGTGCCCCTATGTCACTTGGTCTCTATGCCCCTATGTCACTTGGTCCCTATGCCACTATGCCACTTGGTCCCTGTGCCCCTATGTCACTTAGTCCCTATGCCCCTCTGTCATTTGGTCCCTATGCCACTATGTCAATTGGTCCCTGTGCCCCTATGTCACTTGGTCCCTATGCCACTATGTCACTTGGTCCCTATGCCCCTATGTCACTTGGTCCCTATGCCACTATGTCACTTGGTCCCTGTGCCCCTTTTTTACTTGGTCCCTGTGCCCCTATGTCACTTGGTCCCTGTACCCCTCTGTCACTTGGTCCCTATGCCACTATGTCACTTTGTCCCTATGCCCCTATGTCACTTGGTCCCTATGCCACTATGTCACTTGGTCCCTATGCCACTATGTCACTTGGTCCCTGTGCCACTATGTCACTTGGTCCCTGTGCCCCTATGTCACTTGGTCCCTATGCCCCTATGTCACTTGGTCCCTGTGCCCCTATGTCACTTGGTCCCTGTGCCCCTATGTCACTTGGTCCCTGTGCCCCTATGTAACTTGGTCCCTGTGCCCCTATGTCACTTGGTCCCTGTGCCCCTATGTCACAATGTCCAGTTAAGAAAATGGCACTGCCAAGTTCGATAGCTTCGCTGTCTATGGTTACTATCATTAAACAAACCATCTGATTATTAGAATAGACGTCTCTTTATTAAATGTAAACTCATGCAATCCAACGCTTCTGCACGGCCATCGTTTCACACCACCACAACAAACAAACACGCCAATGCCCCTTATCCACATACGTCAGAAAATCTCAACATAATAGATAGAGCTACACATATACCCTCTACAATCTACACTAAACATCTTTTCCATACCAAAGATTCACGCCCCTTACTCTAGTTCGCAACAGTCCCTATGTCACTATGTCCTTAAGTCACTATGACCCTATGTCAATTTCTAGCGCGCTATGAATCAGGCCCTGGCCAAATAACGTATTTATACACCTTGCCATTGGAAAAAAAAATGAGTCTTCTACCATTAGGACCTGGATGCGTAGACGACTAATTGATGACCCGAGCAAGGGCACGCCTCTGATCCGGCTCCACGACAACACGGTTCTCTCTGTTTTTTCTTGCAAGGAAGGGATTAAAATAGATATTCTAAAAAAAAAACCAATTCAGCCCGACTACGTACTAACAAGATATGATTCATCAGAACCACGTACCGGACTACGGCATCACTTAACGTAGTCAAATCGTTGTTAGTTTGACGTCCAACTTGTTCTAAATTTTTTTTCCCCCATTCAAAAACAAAAACAAATAAAAGTCACGTGATGTGACCAAAATAAGCAGTGGTGTCGCGTTGAACGGTCGAAGACACGCGATTTAGTCAGTCGGTAATCGGCTCTTTTAGAACAGCGGGCCAGGAGATAACACGGTGAGCTGCAATCTGTTGTTCTGTCAAAATAGGTTTGTCTCCTTCCGAGCCAGACTGGCAACAAGATCTTTGTCATGGTTGCTATGCAACTTATCTCCCCTTTCGGGGGGGTCAATGGTCAATTATCGAGGTGCCGTAAAGAGTTGTGTGGGGTTAGGAAAAAAAGGGGGGTGGGGAAGAAGTGGAAGTTTAAAAAGGGGCCACAGCCTCCGCAGTATATTAAGTCGGACCGACCGTGTCTATCAGTGTGGTTTGCGGGGTTAGTTCAGTGCGCTGTGTTGTAAATCGAGACATGATAAATGTTGTGCCCCGATAGTAGCTTTATTTTCCTACCCGGATACACCTCAAGGGTCCATGTAGTTAGTGTCATTCATACGGTGTACGTCGAACCTGCAATCTTCACCAACATCTCATAAACATTTTGTTGTTCCTTGCATGGAGATCGTTCGATTTTTAAATACATGTGGTGGTAAACAAGGATGGAGCTTTCTTGTGTTGTACTGTGCGTCATCTGGAATGCTCTGTCGACCGTAACGGTGGTCTTAAGTTTTCGGGACCTTAACTGGGACTCGTTGGAAAACAAGTGGCTGGACTTTCACGTGAAGTTCTGCGGCCGCGTCTGCAACGGAAGCCAGCTGGTGATAGCGTACAATGACTGCGATAGAGCCAAAACCGCCGTACCAAAATGTCTACCGTGTGACTGTGAACCGTCATGCTATATATACGACACGTGTTGTCCTACCCTGACCGACGGTGTTTTGACGCAGCCGGTGTATTCCGACTCGGGGCACTTGCCTCGACCAGAAAGGTTTGTTTGTAAAAACTTCCCTTCCTACAGTAACTTTTATGCGATATCTGACTGCAGCGAGGACTTTTTAAAATCAGTGGATGATTATGAGGAGACCAAAACAAGGGATGGCGTCACAGTCTCGCACGATGCAAAAACACCGCGAGACGTGGCCATTCAACAATGTGAGCATCCTAAAACAGAAACTATGGATGACGTCATCCCATATCTTGACTTAAATTACGGCATAGTTTTCAAAAACAAATTCTGCGCATTGTGCAACGGATATCAGATAGTTCACAGGAACAACATAAAAAACGACAGTCATGTCGATCGTACAAAACTGGCCGATGCCTGGTCATTGCAAGTGTCATGTGACCATTACCAGTATTTGTTTAACATTACCTCCGAGCTGGAGTTTTTCAATACAGCCCTTAACAAAAATGGCTGCCGCATTAAGTATAGTTCTCCCAAATCCAATTTCCCGCCAAAAGAGTGCCAAGCAAATATGCAGGTGGATCTCGAGTCCACCTGTGTTTCATCAGCAGATACGACTGTGAATGAAAACTGCCTCAACCTCAGCAGGCGTTACCTCAAAGTTGAATCTTACAGAAATATTTTCTGTTACTTGTGTGCCGGGAGCAAGCCCGGATGCAGCTCACCAAGTCGAGTCCCAGGAGTGGAACCGCTCGTTCCACCCATTTCATTGTTGTTGAGCTTCGACACGAACTACCAGCCAAAGTCACCAGAGCATAAAACATGCAACTTTTCAAGCGAGTGGAGAAATAAACAGGTAATATAACAAATAAACAGTTAGTATAACAAATAAACAGTTATTATAACGAATAAACAGGTACTATAACAAACAGGTAGTGTAACAAATAAGCAGGTAGTATAACAAATAAACATTTAGTATAACAAATAAACAGCTAGTATAAAAAATAAACTGTATAACAAATACACAGTATAAAAATAATAAATGAACAGTTAGTATAGCGAATAGATAGGTAGTATAACAAACAAGTAGTGTAACAAATAAACAGCTAGTATAACAAATAAACAGGTAGTATAACAAATAAAGAGGTAGTATAACAAATAAACAGGTATTATAACAAATAAACAGGTAGAGTAACAAATAAACAGGTAGTATAACAAATAAACAGGTAGTATAACAAATAAACAGCTAGTATAACAAATGAGCAGGTAGTGTAAAAAATAAACAGGTAGTGTAACAAATAAACAGGTAGTGTAACAAATAAACAGGTAGTGTAACAAATAAACAGGTAGTATAACAAATAAGCAGGTAGAGTAACAAATAAACAGGTAGCATAACAAATGAAGATGCAATAAAACAAACATGTAGTTTAACAAACAAATAAACCGTTAAAGTAATAAATAAACAGGTAGAGTAACAAATAAATTGGTAGTTTAACAAATAAACAGGTAGTGTAGCAAATAAGCAGGTAGTGTAAAAAATAAGCTGGTAGACTGGTAGTGTAAAAAATAAACAGGTAGAGTAACAAATTAGGAGACAGTATAACAAATAAACAGGCTGCTTAATAAATCTTTTCCCACACTGTATCCTATACCATGTGTTTTAAATAAATGATTGCCAATTTTGTCAACCAGAACATGAGTGCAGATTTTGTGCTTTAACTAATAGTTGACCTTGAACTTTTCTTGGGACGATATGTTCATTTCATTGGCTATCTTGTTAGTGCTATCTTGTTAGTGCTATCTTGTTAGTGCTATCTTGTTAGTGCTATCTTGTTAGTGCTATCTTGTTAGTGCTATCTTGTTAGTGCGATAGTTAGACATGACAGCACTTTTAAAAATCGTTCATAATGAAATTCATTAAAAAAAATTATCAGTCATGATTAATTATTAAAACATGCCCTGATTCAAAAGTCCGCTTTGCGATATGCTTACTAAAAGTCAATGTAAAGAATACTGATTAAAAATATCTGTAAAAATAATACATGTAAAGATGAAGCGATATTTGCATGACTCAAACCTCTCCATTTCCGCCACGTCAGGACAAGTGTTCACAAGCAGAGTGTTCCCCGGGAAAGCTGGCCACCAAGAACGAGACGTGCTCGAGCGCGATAAAAGAGATACGCGGCCTGGGATACAAGATGGCCATGAGGCTTGTGGCGTCACAAGAGATCATCGTCTCCGACCGCCACGTGCAGGGTCTGCACGAAGAAACATTCCAAAAGCTTTCCAGCCTCTCCACCGAACTGGAGCTGACCACGATAATCAAGGTTGGCGAAGGCAGCAACGTGCTGGAGGAAGTATCATTGTGCGCTTTTCTCATCGGCCCCAACAACACACAAAGAGATTATTTTGAGTCGCTGATGGTGAAACGAACGCAGCGCACCTGGGATGTGAGACTTTTGCCCAATACCGCGTTAGAGCGGAATGTTACGCTGCGCCCAATTCTGTTGGGATTCAACTTGAATGGACTTCAGACAAGCTCTTGCTGGGATTATAGCCGAACTGCTCAGTATCGAAATGGGTCAGTCACCGTCAACAGGTTTGAGCGTATGTATTTCATTGGAGCGGGTGAATTGAATTCTTCGAGGCGGACCGGACAAAGGATTTATCAGTTTGGACAGAAAGCGGACATTTTCCCAAAGCGTCTGTGGCACATTAAGAAAGACTTCATCGACGTGACGTACAGCCTAACATGCCCGTATGTCGTTGTGAACCTAACTAAACTATCCATAGAAGATCATTCAGCCAGTGTTAGTTTCGAACATGAAGGGCGAATAGTGGAACTTACAAGTTTACAAAATATTTCTCTAGTGGACGACCAATTGAGGATTTGTATTGATTTGTTTAAGATGGCGACACGCGTCACACAGTCTACAGACATCGTCATACAGATATTGTATTATTTTCAAGTTGTCTGTGTGTCTGTTTCCATAGTCTGTCTGATTCTTTCATTTGCAACATTTTGTCTATTTCCGTCTCTGCGATCTCTACCAGGTTTAAATAACATGAGTTTGTGCCTGTCTCTGGCCATCGCTCAGACTTGTCTTCTGATAACAGTCCAAAATGGGGTACACGGAGTTCTCCCCCCTATCTATTGTCTTCTTCACGCGATAGTCCTACATTACAGCTGGCTGGCGTCTTTCTTGTGGATGAGTGCGTGTTGTATCCACATGTTTCGTGTATTTACTTGTCATGGCAACCAATTTATAAATACTCGCTCTGACAAACAACGCCATCTCAAATATTGTCTTTACGCTTACGGTGTCCCACTTTTGATTGTGGCCTTCACCTTGGCCACCAACGCCGCGTTAACTTCCGGTGCAACTTTAGGTTATGACGACACCATTTGTTTCCTAGACACCCGCACGTCTGCTATGAACATCGCATTGTCACTTCTACTTCCGTTATGTTGTATGGTTCTCAGCAATGGGGTTTTATTTGCACTAACAGTTCGAGGAATTATACATGTGACAAAAATACAAGAAACTACGACTAGAAGAGACAGTCAAGGTGTGATGACATACGTCAAACTGTCCACTCTGACCGGTGTGTTCTGTATTGTAGCTGCCGTCTCGGTTTGGCTCAACAACATCCCGCTCCAGTTTGTTACGTCTCCACTAATGGCCCTGCAAGGTGTCTTCGTATTTTTCTCATTCATTGTGAACCGTCGAGTGGGAAAGCTCTATTCTAATTTGTGGAACAAGAAAGGTTTTCACGACCAATCCTCCTCCAGCAGCAGGAGTAGAAAGAGTGATTCAACTTCCGGTAGGAGCAGACAAACTCTACTATCAAAATTCACATCCAGCACTACGCGCTAAAGTTGTTGAGTACAAATTGTATTGAGCTATTCAGTAGCTACTAATCAATATGAAATAATTAGAATAAAAGACAAGAAAGAAAAAAACCCCACAAAAATAAACAAACTTATGGACCCCATAAAAATGATCTGCTATAATCGTGTTCGAAATCTGGAGAAAATTCTATTTACCGGAAAACTTAGAAACCATCCCCTGAACAATGAGTTTTAAAATGAATAATTCTCGTGCATTAAGTGTGATAGCTGTGTGCTTTAACTTTGATCATTTATGTGTGCAATATCCCGAGATGACGTCTTAAAAAAAAATTGCTTCTAACATGCTTCAGTTTATGTTTAACATGCTTGAGTGACTGGCTGATAAGAGAGATGGTACAGAGGCGTTGTCGTGATGGGGGTCTGGCACAGCTACTATTAAAGGTCGTCAATGAGCCATTTATGACCATTTGCTTATCCATAAACGTATGAAAAACCAGTGGCGTAGCTAGGGCTGGTGCCGGACGGGGCGGGTCAACGTTTTGCCCCCCTCCCCACAAAAAGTCTGAAATTTTCAAAAAAATGCCACCCCTCAATATATATTGGAAAAAAGAGCTGCTCTGGGCGGACCGTCCCCACCCTCCGGCCCCCTTTTCTACGCCAATGTCAGTTAAGAAAATGTTATCTTAATTGTTTTGTTTTTTCTATCCAGCTCGATTAATCTCAAGCGAATCAATTCATGGTAATGACCACCATGATGTTATCAACCACTCTGTGTTTTGGAGAAAAGTTTACTTCTGTAATGTTGTTTTATTTAAGTCTTCAAACCTCAAACTTATAAATTAACTAAAGCCTACACAAACAAAATAGTCTCTCACGCAACAAGAATTATCCTATCTAACTCATATTAATAAAGACGTCATTCCTTTCATATCACCAAAAACATGAGCTTGACAAGTCGGCAGTACACCATTAAACTGCATTCAGTGTTAGAGAGTAACTTCATTGTTATAGTTATATCAATGTTTGCCCATTAACTTTGTTTGATGTCGCATTTGTGAAAACAATAAAGATGATTTAATGTCAAATTCTGCATTGCCCTAGGTTCACTTGTGACGTCATTGTCATCTACTCAAGGGAAGTTACATTGTTTTCATGTCCTGTGATGTACAGGGTTATTGTTCACGTTCAAGATCAAGCTCAAAAATCATATTAACAACACTGAATCTGAGAATTAGCTGAAGAGAATCCAAAAGTCAAACATAGAGCGAGAATTGAGTAAGAAATTGAGTCAGACACTGTCCCATAATCACAGGCTAGATCATAACAGGGACCCAACCTGCCGGCATTGCAGCCTGGTCCCGGAAACATTAATTCATCTGTTGACCAAATGCCCTGTCACAAGATGTTTCACGGGAGGCCAGGGCGGTGGGAGAGCCCTACGGGAGAAAAAAAAATGTTGTATGGCACAGCCCAGCAGATGGAGCTGGTTGCCAATGTACTAGCCGGGGTTATAAGAGAGTAATCTCAAACCCGCATCAGAATATATGCGTTATTTAGTCAGACACTGAGTCATGTATATAGTCAAACATTGAGTCAAACATTGAGTCAGACATTGAGTCAGACATTGAGTCAAACATTGAGCCAGACATTGAGTCAGACATTGAGTCAGACATTGAGCCAGATATTGAGTCAAACATTGAGTCAAGTCAGACATTGAGCCAGAAATTAAGTCAGACATTTAGCCAGATATTGAGTCATACATTGAGTCAGACATTAATCCTCAGCAACTTATGAAAAGCATGGCCCAACGCCAGGGATAATTGGCGTAATTCCGATCCGTAGCTTCAAGTTAATGTTAGAATATCGATCAAAGATTATTATCATAGTTTATAAAACTCATATTATGAAATACACAAAAGTTTTTAAATTAAAAAAAATAAATAAATATAAATTAAAAAATTAAATTTTAGAGTCGGGTAAATTATCGCACCCCCCCCCCCTTTCCCCACAATATATACGATGCTAGTTCAAAAGCCATTTTTAAAAATATACAATCCAATATAAAGTCAACTGTTCATAATATGGTAGGCTAAATGCCACAACTAACTGCACACTGTTGGAATTCCCAAACCTCCCTGCTGATGGTCTTATCATGGACATTTTAACCTCTTAAAATAGCTGTAAGTATGCTTCCTCTTATGATTAGGGTTCAATCCTGCAATCTTATCTCAACGTCTGGCCACAATCATGGCCCTCGGGTTTAAAAGCTTCTTTACATTCCCCTATCTTGTTAATACATTATGGTAAACATGTTTGCACCCCCCCCCCTTTTTTTTTTAAAAACAAAAACGAAAAGAAAACAATACATTGTAGTCAACACACATTCCCCTTCTATCGTTTTATAATGGACATTTTAAACTCTTAAAATAGCTGTAAGTATGCGTCCTCTTATGATTAGGGTTCAATCCTGCAATCTTATCTCAACGTCTGGCCACAATCATGGCCCTCGGGTTTAAAAGCTTCTTTACATTCCCCTATCTTTTTAATACATTATGGTAAACATGTTTGCACCCCCCCCCCTTTTTTTTTTAAAAACAAAAACGAAAAGAAAACAATACATTGTAGTCAACACACATTCCCCTTCTATCGTATCGAAATCTCCAGCATAAGTCTTGACTCTCCTTATCAAATCGTATGGCTGACACAGGTAATAAAACTGGAGGAAAAAAACAAACAAACACACACTCGAAGGACATGTAGTAAAAATATACAATCAAATTTTTATTCGTGTTATCAGCGCAAGGGTGTCAACCCCCACCCCCCCCCTTAAATGGTGGAAGACAACCCTCCCCACCCCCACCCCTGACCTTGAACTTGGTAAATTTTGTACTTTAACCTGTGCGGGTCAAGCCAGGGATGGTATTGGGGTTTAATGAGGAGTTCACTATAAATACATTGGTGCCTCGACTTACGAACCGATTGAAATACGAACTTTTAGAGATAACAAATGTTTACATATTCCATTTTGACCTCTACATTCGAACTTAGATTCGAGATATGAAACACTATGCATTGCACTTGCGCGCGTGCCATGCTTGTGGTGTTTGTTCGTACTACGACGCATTGTCTGGAATACGAGCAACGAGTGGTGTGTGTGTGTGACCAACGAGTGGTGTGTGTGACCAACGAGTGGTGTGTGTGTGTGTGTACGCCGTGTGGTGTGTGTGTGTGTGTGACCAACGAGTGGTGTGTGTGTGTGTGC